TGAGTTGGTGTTGCTTTTAATACCAAAAAAAAAAAGATTGACAAATAAAATTAGATCACAATAAAATTTTTCAAAAAAAAAGTAACTAGTTTAACATTTAAGGTTTGTGTTTGTAGTTGCATAGTTTTATTGGCAAAAAGAATTAAAAAAAAGGAGGAATACAAAGAGAAAATGAAAAGAAAAAATAATCATAAATCCCATTCTTTGTATATGCATATCCAACAAGAGAGCTTTGTTAAAATGTTAAGGCTAGTATTGTTATTTTAGGTAGACAAGGGAGGCAAGTGTAATTTTTAAAATCTCAAGGGAACCCAATGAAATTATTAGAAACCTCAGGGGAGGCTTCTGAAATTACCCCTAATAATTAATTAAGACAAGGAAGAAAAATAAGTGACAGAAAGAGGAAATAAAGGGGAAGTCAACTTGATGTCCCAATGACAACTCAACAGCCATGACATGCAAAATGTGTTATCTATCAAGAAGTTTGCCAGCAGGAAAACTTTGTTCCCCATATATGGCGGCCAACCGTAAAATTTGGCTAGGCCTCTTAATTAAAATCTGTTTCATCTCTGATTTTTATTCATTGACAATGTATAGAAAATGATATTTCCATTGTAGCAATAGCTGTGAACCAAAAGTCCAGGTTGTGGTTTAAGCCCTGGCAAGAAAGGCAAGGAGGGGACATATATACAGAAAGAGGTGGTTTGAGGAGGAGGAGGAGGAGCAAAAGCCATAATGACTAACGCCACGATAACTGTGGATTTTGATAAACTATATCAAGATGTTCAATGCTATTCTGATACAATATACAGGTTCAATGGCGTTTGGGATGGCCCTAATCCCTTGCTTCCAGTTGTTCCTCTCTTCCTTGTTCAATTAACAGTTGCTGTCCTGGCCACCCGCCTTCTCATTATTGCCTTTAGACCCTTTAACCAACCTCCCTTTGTTGCTGAAATCCTCGTAAGTTCAAGATTTTTGCAGCTCTTTCATGCATGTCTGTAGCTGAAGTCCATCTCCTTAAAGAAATATAAGAATAGGAAAATTATGTTCAGGACAAATTAGTGTATTCACCTCGACTGTTGGACCTCAATTTAGATGCATATCTTGGAGAATGCTTTGTTTTCCTTTTGTAGTTTAATGACCTCTTGGCCTTGATACGATTTCTGAAGGAAAATGTCTTCCTGATTTTTTAGCATGAAGATAGTTGGTTGGCGCGATTCTCTGCGAGAATTTGAGATTTACTGAAATTTAAGCTAAATCAATTATGGTTTCTTGTACCTCTCAAGCCATCTTTTATGTGCATACATGCTTGCATTATTCAGTTCACCTATATGGATATGAAGTCTTGCTCCAAATATGTTGATTTGGGTGTAAGAAATCTTACATGGAATATTGAAAATGAAATTCTTAACAATGGTCCTAATTTGTTGTGATGCCACAATTAAGAATACTAGATTGAGCTTAGTTTTATCTTAACGTAGTGTTTATATGATGAATACAGCACATATCAGTACTTCTTTCCCCTTGATCAAATTCAACTGCATTCAATGCATAAATTGAATCAAGCATACATTTGGCGTTACTAATCAGAAGGAGAAAATGATTTCTGCAATTTGCAGACTGGTATCATCTTGGGACCTTCTGTACTTGGGAAACTTTCATTCTTCTCAAATTTCTTATTTCCACCTTACTACCTTCCAGTGTTAGAGCCAATGGCGCATTACTCCTTGGTCTATTATGCATTACTGACGGGATTACAGATGGACATACGAGCAATGTACCGAACAGGAACCCAGGCTAAGCATATTGCCGTGGCTGGAATATTTATTCCAATGATCATTGGTTCCTCCTCATACTTCACTATAGAGGATCACGTAACGGCTGAATCACCAACAAAATTAGGTGCTTTTTTCTGGGGTTCTGCTCTAACAGTGACAGGATTTTCAGTGCTGTCTAAAGTTCTTGATAGGCAGAAAATCCTTCACACAGAGATTGGAAAAATAGCTGTCGCTTCAGCTTTACTCAGTGACCTGGCCTCATGGTTTTTTCTTGCGCTAGGACTTGCAATAACGGGGGATAAAACAACAAATTTGATCTGGATTGTGTTATCTACGTGCGCTGTCGTGTTGTTGTGTGGTTTCTATGTTCGTCCTGCTCTGAGTTGGATCGTTAAGAATACTCCAGAAGGCCAAGGGTATAGTGAATTCTACCTGTGTTCAGTAATAACAGGAGTTGGGCTCCTCGGAGTGATCACAGACGCATGTGGTACACATCCACTTATTGGTGCTTTAGTTTTTGGACTGATCATCCCTGATGAAGTTCTTGAATCTGTACTTGTTGATAGGCTTAAAGATGTTGTGAATGGAATATTTATGCCTGTTTTCTTTGTTGCCTGTGGGCTTAGAGCCGACCTGAATAAAGTTGAGGCAAGCTGGATTAAGGTGGCATTAATCATCATATTAGCCTCTTCTGCTAAAATTGTAAGCGCCCTTACGATCTCATTTTTACATGATTTACCAACCAAAGAGGCAGTGGCTGTTGGAGTACTCACTAACACTAAGAGCACCTTAGCTTTGGCAATTCTTGAGATTGGTCTCACCCAAAAGGTATTTTTTTCTGTCCCTCTCCCTGGATATGGATTTGAATTAGGTGTTGACTCAGAAACTTAGATATTTTCTTTATCTTAATTAAACAGGCTCTGACTCAGGAAAGTTTCTCAGTTATGGTTGTTGCCATTCTTGTGATGACAATGGTTGTCACGCCAGCAACAATGTTGTACCGTCCCACAAAGAATATGACGCCATATAAGAGGAGAACCATACAAAAAGCAAAATCAGATGAAGAACTCCGAATACTTGCTTGTATCTATGATGTACGAAATGTCCCTTCCATCATCAATCTCCTGGAAGTGTCCAATTCCACTCAAAAATCACCAATCACTGTTTTTGCTCTTCACCTAGTTGAACTCATCGGCCGTGCCTCTGCTATGCTGGTTGTCCACAGCGCAGGTGGGTCAGGCCCCAGAAATCCAAGTTATTTAGAAGAAAGAACAGAACAAATCCTCGCTGCCTTCGAAAACTACAAGCTACAAAGTGAGGGTGTAGATACTCAGGTGATGACTGCAAGTTCAGCTTATGCGACAATGGATGAAGATATTTGCAGCATTGCCAAGGACAAGAGGGCAGCATTCATAATGCTCCCCTTTCACAAGCAACAAACCTTGGATGGAGACATGGAGGACATAAATCCCACTGCTCGAAATGTCAATGAGAGTGTGATGGAAAATGCACCATGTTCTGTGGGCATTCTTATTGACCGTGGTCTCACTGATTCACAAAACCGTGCAAGGAGCATTGCCATGCTGTTTTTTGGAGGTTCCGATGATAGGGAGGCATTAGCTTATGCATGGAGAATGGCTGAACATCCAGAGACCAGCCTAACAGTGGTAAGGTTCATTTCAGGTCAAGACACGGAGGAAGAAGAATGGGATCCCCTGGCTTTTGAAGATAGAGATCAAGTGACTATAGAAATCGACTCCAAAAGCCACGGACTTCTAGACGATGAATTCTTGAACAAATTTAAGATTGCTACAGTCAATGACAGCTCCATAAGCTTCTCTGAACTCATGCTAAACGATGAAGAGGAGACTGTTAATGCAATAAAAGACATGGATGGTGACAATCACGATCTATACATAGTCGGGAAAGGGAGAGGAGTAACATCGCCTCTGACAGTAGGCCTTGCTGATTGGTGTGACTGCCCTGAGCTAGGGCCTATTGGGGATCTTTTGGTCACATCAGAATTCAAATCTGTGTTTTCAGTGCTGGTGGTGCAGCAATATCATAAGCCATCTGTTCCTAGAGATGGTTCAGTGAGGTCTGCCGGCACAATTAGTCAGAGGAAGGACATGGAATTCAGGCCATCACTCTCGGAGACCGAAACATTTGAGCCATATGCAAGCTTTAGAAAGACTAATTTCTTAACCATGAACTAGTATTTTTCAGGATTTTTACCCAGTGACTTGGAAGATTGTTAGCAGTAGATCCAGAAAAGTGAACAACAAAAGGCAAGGTCATTTGCAAATCACAATATTACCATCTCACTAATTCTTGTATACTCAGGCTTGTACACCGCAAAAGTGCTTTTTCTCATGATAGAACGACAATAAGAAGGCTCTATTCAAAAGTGCTTTCAGAAAAGTTGAATAGAAAGCCTTCTACGTTCAAAAGTGCTTGCAAGGTTATGGAAAAACTTTTACTGAAAGGTAATCAATTATTTTTGGGAAAAAAGGCCACCAACAGTTTTTCTTTTTTTTTTAATCCAAGAATAGAAGAACTTCCATCACAATACAAAATTTTTGATGCACCATAACAAAATTAATTATAATGCATTAAGAATTTCAGCTAGCAATCGTTATTTTTCTTCCCCTTCCTCTTACAATATAAATGTGTAAGTTGTCAGAGAGAACGTAATATAAATGTGAAATCGGATCAAGGCAAAGAAAAAAAAAAGGCAAAAATCTACTTTTACATGAATAATTGATTACTTTATATCAATGTTAATAAATTTACTAACCTAACAATTAATTTTACCATGCATGGACAAAAATATGGCACGAAGAGAAATTATAACTAAAATTAATTGGAGGAGAGTTAGATGTAAAAAATGAGTAAAACCTAAGTGACTATTAACCCATTAATTCTCTTCAATTAGGTTTGAAGCCAAAAAGAGAAAAAAAAAAAAAAAAAGAGGTTAATTGAAATAAGATATTGTCAAGGATACGCAATCATAGTATCCAACAATTTGAGAAAACTCTGAGATAGCCTACAAAATGTGCTTTGTTGTGCGTGTGTGTGTGTCTATATATATATATATATATATATATACCCCTTGTCATTGCCCGATCCCAGAAAAATCCATCTTTTCTGTTATATCAATATCATATAGAACTTAAATTATTTTAGCAAAAAAAAAAAAAGGAGAGAGAAAGAGATAAAAGATGATCAAGAAAAAAATACAAAAAATTCATATTTGGATACTTTACACAGTCAAACTACAACAATTTGCTCTTAAATACTCATAAGAAGCTATAGGCAATAGGCATTACTCGAGCTTCATATTTTAGACCCAAAAAAGAAATAATAATAAGAACATGTTATTTTGTCCAAAAACTATTCAGCAACCTCCCAAGGAGCACCCAAAAAACACCCTAATACACCCCATCAACCACCACCACCACCACCACCACCACTTTGACCACCTTCTCACCCTTCTCTTTCCACCATGGCCCCATCACTCCCACAATGATCTTCACTCCCTCCTCCCCTTTCCCACTTCCTTCACCACCCCCATCTTATTCTCCGTTTTCCCTCCTTTCCACCCCCCCCCCCCCCAAACAAAAAAAGCCAAAAAATGGTTGTAGGTATTGCCTAACGGTTCATCATCTTAAGAGTGTTTACATAAGTGTAGCTTGAAAATGACACAAAAAGCTTCCGGAACCTGCATTGGCAATTAAGATGAGATAAATGAGAATGCACAAAAGATCATTGAAGTCAGTTAGATTATTCAAAGTAAATATATCCCCACCCCAAAACAACCTCTTTTTAGGAAAATCATGAAAGATCTTGCAAGGAAAAATATATTGATCCCTTCTCCTTCCAATTAGATGTGAAGATAGCAGCACGCATACCATATCCATTGGCTCCTATGTTGAGCCATTGCAGCATAGCTTTGAAAGGGATTTTCGTTCAGCAAAGACTGCAGTTCTCTGTTTAGACATTTCCTGGCTAATAAAATGGACAACCAAATATCAACTGGTCCACAGTATTTGCGCAATATGTTGTTACTGACCTGGGTATTATAAGAACAAAAGCCATGATTTAAGGTTGTAGAAGCTGTAAATGAAACTTAAAATAAAACACACTGCCGCTTTCTCAGGAAAAATCCTAAATGGAAAATGAGAAACAGGAAGAGAAGGAATTTGTGACCAAACGTCTAATAACAGACAAGAGGATGTTAGCTTTAGTTGTATGCATAGAGTAGGTTGCTACAACACCCCAAATATGGATGGATTTTGACCCACCCATGCTCAAATGCACAAGAGACTAAGATCACCAGATTCCTGTTCAACCATGCGAGAATGAAAACAGCTAAATAGCTACTACTTGTATGTATGTTCATATGTTCCAAGTAACAAACAAAGACTTCCACACATAAAACAAAAATGTAGATTCTGCTGCCCAGCCACTACCAGCATTTAGAACTAATCACAGACTAGTCCCAAATCTCATTCATCCCTAAGTCTCCCACTCTGTTTCCTGACTGCAGCTCCCAGAAGCTAAGCTTCAGTAACACAATAAAATCAGATGAAAATGTACATAATCTATCAAAATCGCACGTACAAATTGAGACCAAAAGTTAAATCCAACATCAACACAAAATCATAGCAGGGAATGGGGAGTGAAAGGGTGACTGTGCATGGGAAGAGTAATCTTGGAGGGCAAAAGGGCAGGGCTCAAGGACATTGTGGAAAATAATAAATACAAACACTTTACAAGATGAGGTTTTCTGATGGAAGTTAAGAGAAGGAGCAAAATTTCTTCAATTTCAAAATTGCATGTCATAACCACATACTTAGCTGCAATACCAGGTCACTCTACCATGACAAACAAGGTCTTTGGTTCACTTCGCTCTTTTTGGTACAACTAAGTCGTAGTTGGAGGAGGTCATGAATAATCTAACAACCATGGAAGAAATAAAATTCACAATAACCAGTAACTCTATTATCACAAGATAGATGTTGTAACTTACAAGTTCCCAGGCTTCAACTTGTTGGGAAGAATTTTGGAAGAGCTTTCTGCATAGCAAAACCAATATTCAGATTTCATAAATGCAAAATCAACAAATACATGCTCTTAATGACAGCACAAATAAGTCAAGATCTACTGACCGCACTCCCCGATGTACATCACAGTGATTACAATGACCAGAAACACCATAATTATCAAAAGTTATTATCTGAGAAGCCAAAAGGAGAGTGAGTTGAGTATAATCTCCAGATAACTTACAATTAACCATTCACATTGCCAGCTACAGTGAGGCACTCATAAGCATAACAACGGCCTCATGCCACATAATTTCACAAAGTAGGAAAAAGGCTAGAAGTAGAGAAGTTGGCCAATAAAATAGACAAAACCTTACCACATCAATGGCTTTAGAATCAACTTCCTCCTTAATAATCATTTCCAATAAATTACAGTTCCAGACCTTGTGAAAACCATCCTACATTCAAAAGCCATATTCTACTAAATTTTTGGCATAATGTGTCACAAGGAAAACAATAGCCCAGTATCAAATCTTGTAAGATATTTCAGACAGGTACCTGCAAATCTGGGTGGTCCACAACCTTCACTCGCTGGGATGGCACCTGCATGAGTAAAAATAATTTCAATGACATGGAAGACCAAAGCCCAAGTAAAATATGAACCCCGGAACTGTTTATCTGGATAGTATGTAGAATATTAACGTTAATCAGGCAACAATAGAAATGTGATGTAGTAGTACAGTTCCATAAAATGTGGATAGTATGGATGTAAAAGGTCTGTGGTCTGAGCACCCAGCTGCATGTTGAATGGAAGTAATAAAATTTCCTATTCAACAACAAAATACCTTCAAGACAACAGATGCTAGGTACAGCTCTTCTTTCCTGATGCCCCCAATACCATCTGCATTACCTACAAAAGAGACAACTTTTGAAACTTTTATATTGGAAAAACCAAATGCTGATGACAGTGTTAAGATTGTTGAATTTTCAATGCCATCTTCTACAGAGGACTAGTTACCACTTCAAATGTTCCCAGACTAGAGCCAGTATAATTAGAAACATCGTATAATTAGATACATATACCCATTCCCCATTATGAGGAAGACAATCAGACACAGGAAATTAAAATTTTCTCTATCTGCAAGCTTCAACCTTTTGTACAGCAAAGCAAAATTGCCTGTTTCAGAAAACATGTTCAGGAAATCATTCGACACGTAGTGAGATTACATATCCAGTCAAATCAGAACATTGTCTTTGCTAGGACACTCAGCTGTGTTTTTCATCAGATTCCAAGCCAGTTTAACCAACCTAACTGAAACATTAGCCATGGTAGAGGAGACAAAGGAAGTTTCTCTGCTTAATTAGGTGTCCTGCTTATATAAGCAGCTAGGAAGTTGCAAGTCTGTAGTAGTGCATTACCAGTTGACAAGCACAGTATATAAACATTATGCCCCCTTGAAGTCAGGTAATTGATTGTTGGTGAAAAGAACCTGCATAGATATCAAGTAATGTTACAAGCATATGGTAAAACCACAAACTTGTGACTCTTAACGTTTAAAAACAGAAAGGACATCATGTTATAAATCACACAAAGTTTCAAACTTTTGTTTTACTCTTGCACTATTACATTCCTTAGTTTAGGCAATGTTGCTGGCTTATGACCTAAATAAAATTTATACATGCGATCAAAGTCGGAAAATGTTCAGAATGTTCTATATTCTAAACTTAACCGATGTAACAATTCAACCACTATCAGGTATCCAACACAAGCTTCTAGTCCAATTAAATAATTGCAACAAAAAGTACACAATAAGAATTTTGTAACACAACCTTACATTGTCTCATCATCAGGGTGTGCAATAACCAACAAGACATTTTTCCTTGAAGGCAACCCAGCACCTAAAATTGCAAAATCCAAGAATAAAATTTACTCCTCAAACAAACAATAATTCATTGTCAGGGACAAAGTATTCATCTATGCTCAGAACAAACTTATTACCGATGAAATAGTGATCTTACTTGCATTATCATTCAGGAAGGTGGTCTTGGAATTTAAAGATGAACCCAAGTGTATTTTGCCTAAAGAAACCGCCCAGAGTAATACCAACAAGCCAACAATCACCAGCCACACCATCTAGCAATCCTCCCAAGACAATGCAATTTCACCAAAAGGAGACTGAAAATGCCCAAAATTTGCAGTAGGAAAAGAGGGGGTCATCCTAAATATTCAATCAAAATCAGCAATGCAGTTATCTGATGTTTTTCATCTTAAATATATATACAATCTGTAAAACCACAAGATTACATAAAGCTAGAAAATCGTTTTGCTAACATTGGCTAGAAAAACTCCAAACAAAAAAAAAACGTAAGTTTTTTTCTTTTATGAAAATCCACATCATATACTAGAGTTGTTCTCTCTTTAGTTTCCTTTGGGCCCATTACATAATAAAGAACCCAAAAAAGAAAAAAAAATATTCAAAAATCATAGTACCAATAATATTCCACAACAATATACTAATTTATACCAATGTTGCTGAAATGGGCTTTCAATAATTCAAGCAAATTTCATGCTTACCTATGATTAAAATACTTGAAGGTACTAAATAGCAATGCAGAAAGAGTGTAATCAATGAAACATAAATAAGTAAAAAAAAAAAGAAAAATTAAATTGATTTGATACCATTCCATTTTCTATACATATGACGATCAGTGATGGGAATTTTATTGAAATGGGTTGTCATAATTACGACGGATTCTTACCTTAGACAGGCATTGGGAGTCGGAAAAATTGATTCTTTATCGCTGATGGACACCCGCCGGCGGTGAGTCCGGTGACCGAGCTAAGCTTGGTGATCTAGTTGCCGGAAGAAACGGGTTAACGGAAGAGAGCGATTTCAAGGTTTGGGAGCTGAAGTCGTTGAGATCAAAACAACGTGATTTATTCGCTGGGATAAATTGCTTCAATAGTCCCTCTTACTTTAAGAAAATATATTTTGTTCCCCCCTCCCATCTGAGAAGTACTAATCCTCACCTTTGGAATAAAATTATTTAATTCCTTAACATAATTTAAACTGTACAACTTTTGGCCAAAATGCAAAATCCCACCTTCAGCTATATTTCTAACAATAAAAATGTCACACTGATATCAAGTCTACGTGGTTTATGCATATTTTTATTTAATTTTTATATTTTTTCTTGAATAAAAGAATGAATTACTCGATTGATTTCTGTAACTCTCGGGATATATATTATAACTTGAATATAGCCCTTTCATAATTTGTGCTCAAACATTTTCTTATATTCTCGAAAAAATCACATTCATTTTTTATGCCTTACATTGGTCAATCAAAAATTTAGGTCTATGGCATACATAGACCATACTCATTTGAATTTGAATCTTGTTTTGAGTCTTATTTTGAAAAAAGATATTTAAGGCCATGTCATACTTAAAGAATTGGAAGGTGAAAAATGAAATTAGAAAACTTCATCGTGTAGTGAAATTCTATCAACGTATGAGCTTTTTTTAATTTTTTTTTTAGTAGGAGAAGGTGGGATTTAAAAAACGGAAAGAAGACTGGGGATTTAAACATATGAGCCTTGAATAATACACACAAATATATTCCCTTGACTGATTGATTAGAGCAAAAAGAATAATGTATTTGTCAAATCATATTTATTAAAAAAAAACTTTAGTTCTTACACTATATAGGTATCACATTTTATATCGAAAAGCTGGACCATAATAAGAATGTATCCTTAAGAGCATGTGATTTGCAATTTACGAATTAATTTATGAGTAAATTTTATGTACATTTACTGTGTATACACTATCACAATTGGATATACAACATGCATGTAAAATTTGAGTTTCAAATTCAAAATCGAATTATGTATCATGCATCTAATAGTAAAAATGTATACACTGTTGGTGTATAGAAGATTAATCCTTAATTTATTAAACTTTGTCCGAAAAGTACTACTACTAAATAGTAAAATTACATGGATTCAAGATGTAAAATAAAAGGAATTAGGCAATCATCCAACTAGGATCCGAGATTGATATAAATGACATGTTAGATTAAGTGTGGTAAATGTTTTACAATAGGGTGTAGAGATCTTCTGCACTTGCTTTCTAATGTTCCCTATACATTGTAACCAAGATTACAAAGCTCTTACCCCACCTCAAGGCAGGGAGAAAGAAAATTCTAACTGAGAATGCTACTAGCACCTGGAACATTTTTATATGTCTGAAACCAGCCAATTCTACGATGAACCAGAAAAAGACCAAATCTGTGATCCATGGCAACAGATACTGCCTGAATCAAAAACATTTGAAACCAGGACATACAGACAGTATGATGATTAGAAGAATTGCTAGTATAATACCAGCCACAATCAACTTCATCTTCATATTCTGCACCCACATTTTTCTTTTCATCTTAGTACCTTGTTGCCTAAAATCTTGAGCCTGAAACATCAGACAAATTTTCTCATCATTTAAGAAAAAAGGAATTCAAACTAATTTAGGGGTGCAAATGGATAAGATATACAAGTACGTTAAATAGAATTACTTTCTTGGTTAGCTCTTAATGATAAATTCAAACTAATACGTAAACTTCTTAAACTAACCTGCGATCGAAGGTTTTCGGTTTTATCGACTAATAACTCGATCTTTTCTCCACGATCAAGAACCTAAAACCAAGAAATTTAATGTGCATAAAGTGACAGAAAACTTGGTAATTGGAAGCAAAAAAAAAAAAAGGAAAAGCATGCAACAAATGAATGCTTATTTTAGCTTTCTTACCTTTTCAATGTTTTCCATCATCACTCCTTTCACTTCAGAAACTTGAGCTTTAATTTTTGCAAGCTTATTGATCTCTTCTGGATGATCAACACAATACTTCATGTGCTCTTTCAGTTTTGGCCTACCACAGAACAAGGAAATCTTTGGTAAAGCACTTAAATTAATCAAAAGAAAAAAAAATTTGTCTGATGTTTTAGTATTCTAAAAACTGATAGTTAAATCAGAGAATTGTATAAATGCAAGGAAGCTTAAAATGTCATTTTGTGTATTTATGTGGTAAAATTGTGTGCATGGTTGGAAAAAAAAAAAACAAGATCCTTAAAAGAAGAACGAACTAGAAATACTAGAAATGGGAATTACCCAAACTCTTTGTTTAAGCTCTTAGCACTGGCAGTTGATGCTTTTCCTCCACCGTATCTCTTGTGAAAGTCTTCCTTGATCCGCTCTAAGAAGGCGATGGGAAGTTGTCTGCCTGCAGCTTCAGCAGCAACAACGCAATAGGCTGCATTATCCAATATTTAGTTGCTTAGCACGTTCCTTATGATTAGTTATATGTAAATAAATGTGGTATGTAAATGAAAAATGATGCTGCTTAATCAAGAAAAATAAAATAGGAAAAAAGGTAAGCATTGTAAAAAGAAAAATAACAAGGGAAAAAAATGAAATTGAGATTCATGAGTTGCTGCTAATGAGTAACTACAAGAAAAGTTAAAGAAATGATTTACTTTTTCACGCGAGAATGGATACATACACGTGGAATAAATACTAATCATTTCACTTATAGTACTTTTTATAATATAATATCTATGAGATAAAAAAATAATTGAAAAGATAAAAAATTATTAAAAAACGTATTTATGATGCAATCAGATAATTTTTTTTTATTTTTAACGTGTGTGTATATATATTAAAATTGGATGCAATATGCAATACTCGAAATGCATAAGCTCATAAATCTCGATATTGCATGTTCATTTCTTTTCATATTCAAAAATATATCCATGAACATAAAGATTTTGGAAATTTCAAAAGATTTTGTGCTTATATGCCTTCTAATTAAGTCATCTCATACTCCATTTTTGACATTTACATAGGAAGACATATAGCAGCACGGGGTAGCCATTCCTCGCAAGATTTTGGAAACATCTATCATGACTATTCATAGTTTGAACTAGAAAATTATGTAATAAAAATTTGCCACCCCAACAAATTTTCTTACAGCTAGAGTTGACCTCCTATACGTCTAATTTTCATCTTTAGCCCCTGCAATGTTCAAATTCTTCGTTCCTGATCACCAATGGCTATATAAACTACAAGAACAAAGGGAAAAAAAAAAAAGATGTACTAAAAACTGCAGCATGGATAATGAATGAATAAACGGGGTTGGCAAAATTTGGCTTACTGAATCCATTCTCAACGTGGTAATTGAATGTATGTCCATCACAATTGTAAGTGAATTTGTTGTTGGAAGCGGGCAGCTTTTGTAGGCATTGAGAGGCAATGGTGGTGAAATTGCCTGTAAACTCTGTGTATTCTGCTAATATTACAGTGCCTCGTGCCACAAAGCTGTAGATCAATGTTTGTTGTCCCATTTTTGTTTGATCAATTCTCTACTATTTGATCTTCATATGCAAGAAAAACCCTCAAATTTTCATCAATTGAAAGAAAAGGAAAGTGGTGAAATTTGGCAAGAAAATGCAAATGAAGGTTTGAGAAAGAGAGACAAAGGTGAAATGATTGGATCAGAGAGAAATGAGGGCTGAGAATATGAAGAGGGAGTCTTTTTCTTTGTTTTATCCTAGAATTGGGGAGAGCTAGCTTAAAGAAGTAAGATTGATGATGTCATAATTTAGTAACGTTTTATTTGGAAAGAAGATTTAATTGATCAGCACCCATCAAAGATGTTCCTATTTCTTCTTCTTCATATAGTATAGAGTAAACCTAAATTAAATTTGGTAAAACAAACATGGCCATGGTAACTAAATTATATTTTAACAGAACGTATGTAAATATTTTCCTTTTTTTCTTCGTCATAAAGGGAAAAAAAAATACTTTTTATCATATTCAAGTAAGCCATGGTTCGGTCTTTTCTCTTTAAAAACAAAATAATTATTCAAAGCATGCACAATAGAAAAAGCCATGTCTACACAACTCTTACTAAAGTTATTTACTTTTTTAAAAAAGTTATTTACTTAAATGAATTTGATAAGGTCCATCTCATTTCTTTTTGCAATGACAATTGTAAATTGTTACAAAAGTTACACTGGTTTAACGCAGGTAATACTCTAACATGAGAACTGAAGTTACTTTCTAAATTTAATGGAAACTCTAAAAAATAGTAAACCTCAAACTCATCAAAGTAGAAGTGAAATGGTAAATTTCTTGTGTTGTTTTCCATGGAGTTTGAAAGCAAGACATGACAAGTAACAAGGATGCTATTTTCTCAGATAAAAAATTAAGTTTGAACTCAATGCAATATAATCATTATTTGTCGAAGAATATACTAAAATTCAACTTGTGACATAGTGCACTAAAAAGAATAAACTTAAAGCATAAATTCGATCATGGCTTATTTCTAACTTTACGCTTAAAGTTATCGAAACAAAACAAAAAAAAAAAAGAGAATGATTAGACTTGGAGACAAAAAAAAATGAATAATTGCATTCCAACATTTTTATTTTTATTGACAAAATTGCACTGATAGTCCCTTACAAATTACTCTTTTTTTTGACGTAACGGTAATACGGAGAAAGCCATTGAATACAGTCACATATAGTGGCAAATTAGTGTGAGATAAGGATTGAATGCTTGATCTCCTACACCACCAAAACTTAAGTGCTTGATGGTGACCATGGCCCTTACAAATTACATATTACTAATATTAAATTTTACTCTCAAGGAATCAAAATTAAATTTTGGTCCCTATGCAATAACAAATTTTAGTCCCCATGCAATAACAAATGTTTATATTTGGTCCTCAATCACGTTTTCGATCAAATTTTGATTGGAATATGTGACAATACTTGATGCAGTCAATATTTAAAGAGCAAATCTGACAACCAACTTAATACCAAATTTCTGACTTAATCAATTGTTTCGTCCCAATGCCTCTCTACCCTAACTCTAATTTCACAAACTCAATAACACATACACTCATTTGTCTCTTCCACCACCACTCTCTCCCATCATTCCCCAATCCACCGCCACCACCAACACCAACACTCACATTGCTACCCTATTTTTCCCATTCTCCTCTTTAGTCTCAATCCCTTTCCTTTTTTCCACCACTATCACCTCTTCCTTTCTTTGGAGGATGAATAGGAAAGAAAACAAGACGGCAGGATGAATGGTGACAGGGAAAGAGAGTGAGGGAGAATATGGCAAAAGAAGGGACTGAGGGAAAAAGAAAGCAAAAAGGTGAAGGTGGAGGAGTGAGAAGGGGCAGGCATAGGCAATGGAAGAGGGAAAGGGATGTACTCATTTTTGAATTTGTGAAACTAAATTTTGGGTGGAGAGAAGTTAGAGGAAATAGCGAACTAAATGAGATATTGGGTCAACATTAAATGTGTCGCTAGATTTACCGTTTAAATATTGACTGCATGATCTACCGGTGACTGATCGTAACTAAAATTTGACAAAAAACATGATCACATAACTAAAATTTGACAAAAAACATGATCACAGACAAAAAAAACTAAGCATTTTTTGGGATAATTTCATAAACCTCCCTTGAGGTTTTTGGCAATTTCAGATAGCTCTCCTCACATTTTGAAAATTACACCTACTTCCCTTAGAACATAGGTTTGGGTTTCACCTTGATGATAAAAGACCAAAATCGCATATGAACGCCTAAAATTGCCCTCATCTAATTTTCAAAATATGAATAGTCATTAAAATTTTTTAAAAATCAAGAATACACTTGTATGCTACAAATTTATGAGTTTTATTACTTAGCCAATGTCCTGATATTTTCCATCCCATGGTTTTCTACATCCATCTAAATTTTCAAACTCTTATCACTTCTTTTTTTTCCGAACAAATTCTTTATTTTAGATGCCAAAATCCACCATCATAATTCTTACCTTTATAATCTTTACCTTTCTATAGGTTTTTTCCCTTGTATTGCCTACCAAACCGTCATAAAACTCACAATCGTTGCTTTTTTCCCAATCAAATAGTCAAGCCCCTCAATGACCAAAATTCTTCCTTTTTTGAGTGATAGAAGGTTACAATTTAATGGTCATGGGTGAAACAGTTTGGTCACAATATGTGGCCTGGTAAAAAAGAATTGTTTTCTCTTTTTTAAATTTTTTTTTATCAATGGCTTGTCTTTGAAAAAATTATGAAGCTTATTATAGTCACTGTCTATCGTCAAGGGAGGTAAGTGTAATATTAAAAACCTCAATGGAGCTCAATGAAATTGTTACAAACCTCAGGGGAGATTTCTGAAATTATCCCCTTTTTTAGGGTTAAAAATCACCATTTGATTATGAAAGACTTAAAATTTATCACCCGCAATATGTGAGGGACTACGAGTGCAATTTCCTTTTTTCTTTCGCGCCAAAAAGATCCCCTTTCCTTTATTCCGCCTACACTCTCCCCTCCACCAAAACACACACTAACACACACTAAACCCAAGGAAAAGAGCCATGGATATGGATTTTCCAGACCTACAAGAGCTAGAATGGCTTGAAGCCAACAACTCTAACTTCCAAGACGACGTAGATTTCGACCTTGATTTCCCTCCAGAACCTCCATCTCCACCATCCGAGCTCGAGCCACCACGGGATTCACCTGAACCCAAAATCCCTTCTTTTAAACCCACTTTATCTCTCCCACCAAAACCCTCCCCAATCAAAACCCAAACCAACCTCAAGAAAAGATTCCGACCTGATTTGAGCCCGGATTTGATTGACCGTGGAGATGGGCGTCCGACTGGTGACCCAGAGGAGAAGCGGAGTAGAGTTGATAATGGGGACGATGAGGAGGATGAGGATTGGCTTAGGTACCCTCCCCCGCGGCCGGTGGCTGGAAATGTGGATGCTGGCGTGGCAATGTCGGAGTCAGAGAAGGTGGAGGAGCGGGTTTTGTCCAGGTATGCGACGGAGATAGACGGGGATTACGTCCCGATTACGGGGTTGGATGGGGAGAGGGTTTATGCAAAGATTTGTGGGGTCGAATGTGAGGACAGAGTGAAGAAGTTAGATATGAGGGGCGATCTTAATGGTCAGTTCTTCTTCTTCTTCTTTTTAAAATCTGTTTCTAGTTATTTAAGCAAGAAAGTTTGCTTCTTTTTGTTTACTTGTAGCTTTATCTGTCTTTCTGTTGAGAAATCAATGCAAAAACTACCAAGAAAGTGGATTGAAAAAAATGACAATTGATATTGATATCTTTGAGAGTTTCTGTTTGGAGAAATTCAGGATCATGATGTATTTTTCTTGGAATGTTTTGTTATGAAAATATGTCTTCTAAGGTGGGGTAAATACGTTGCGAAAACTAATGAATCCTTAACAATTATGGATCCTCCTTTATTCTGCTCTGAATAAAGTTGCTAGAGATAGAAAACTGGATGCACATGAATGCAGGATCTAGTTGGTTGCTAATGAGTTGGTTCAATGAGATATGGCTGATGCTTTGCTGATGGAAATTTCTGTTTGTTTCATTTGTGTTACAACATGAATAGTTTTGGTATTCAGTAAGCAGCAAAATGCTGGATTGAGTTTGTTGAGACAAAAGAGAAATTGAAAATGAGATTTATTTCAGTAAAACACAGAAAGTCTGAAGGTCAAAATTGTCGCTTGTTAATGAGCCAAAGGTAAAACTGGATACTTTTTTTGAATCGTTAATTGGCCACGTGCAGGATGATGTTTCCAGAAAGAAAATTAATGGGCTGGAACTATCAGCTTTTTCACCTCTCTATTTGTTGAAGAGAAATAATCAAAGGATTCAAATTTAGTGAAGTCCAGAAATAAAATGAGTGGTTATTATATTTGAATTTGTTTTATGTCCAATTTTGCATCAATCATTAAACATGAGTACTTTTTTGGGTAGAACAATAGTTTTTCTCGTAGGCTACGCCTGAGAACTTTCTACTTTGAGATGGTGTAGTATTACATACAAATGGTCATCGAGCCTTCTAAAGCAGCATCTTACTTTCTGTGGCACTATAAAATAGAGGAAAAAGGTGGTCCTATCTGCAACTTGGTTCATGTTTGTACCTTATTGAATAGAATAGCTTTTTAGTGAATGCGCCCAAAGATTTTAAGGAGCAATTAGGCAGAATTGCAGTTATTTACACCATTTGTATCAACTCTATGATTTCGAGCATATAACTGATACAGATCTGGAGTATGCAAACATCAGCGTCATAGGGAATAGCATTATGTTAGACATAATAGTTCACAAAATGTAGCAAGCTTCTTCTAGAGTCGGAATCTTTAATGACATTTTCTTTGTAAGTTACTAATCTAGACATTATATGCACCATCTTGATGGGGTATAGTATCTGTACAGGGATTAGTGGATATGGGTCATTCAGTTTTACAGATTCCTGCAATTTCTTGTAGTATTACAGTGTCTACATATTTAAGCAAATGAGTCCTTGTTTCGCTTCAAATACTGGGATATGGGAATTTGCTTCTTGGATATCTTTATAAGGAAAGTTACAGCTTTAAACATGGTTATTTGCACAGCATTGTCTTTCATTTGCTGCTTTTGGTTGGTTTGTACAAGATTGTTGTCATAATTTCTGTTCTGCAGAAACATTGTACGGGATTTCATCGTTAATGCCATGTTTATCTTTTCTACAATACTCACTATGACTTCATTCAACTGCCATTTGTCGGTAATTTTTGCTGGAAGAACAATAGAAAACAATCCTAGCACCTTTTCAGGTCTCTCGCGGGAACCTATTAGAGTTTTAATGCAGAGAGTGGAGCAAGGTGAATTCTCAAAGGTATCTTTCCTACTTGGTCTCATGTTCTTAGACATTTTCAAGGATTGTAGAGTGTCTCAACAATTTTATTATTCCACGAATTTGGTGAAAGAGGAAAATGTTAGGCATAGGAAGGAGTAGAACATATTTTTACTTTCTTCAGATAATGCTGAAAGTAAGTGTTTCATTTAGCCTAAGTTGCATTCTCCTCTCTCTCTCTGTCCCCTGATCTCTATTGTACTGAAGAAGTGAAAAAGGAAAAGTAATGCTTGTGTATTGAGTTTGCCACTTTCCTTTGCATTCTTATTCATTATATCTGAATGTGAAGATGAAGATGAAATTCCATTTATCAGTTACACCTTTGAATGTGAAGATGAAGATGAAATTCCATTTATCAGTTACACCTTTTCTATAGAAGTTTCGTTTCTGTGATCCTGTTTTGCTTAGGCTTTATTTCCTCACAACGTAAGGGTCAGCTTTGCCCTTATGGGAATTTTGGTCAAGTAGGACCTAAGAGGTCATGATGTTGATACACAAAAATGTCCTCTTTCATTGACTAGCCCTAACCTTGTATTGGCAACCTCCTCACATGGTAGGTTTGTTCTTTTTCTCTCCATCAGAGAAAATGTGGTTGATGTTGCTTGTGATTTTTATTCACTTTTGGACTCCTGTTTCTTCACCCCCTCCCCCATTTGAGAATTTCATTAGGCGATCTTTTGCGTTGTATGGAAGCTCATAGTTCATTTATGTGATGTCTTTGCAGGCTTTGCAAGCTAGTGTTGAAGTTGAAAATGATGTCAATTTGTCACCAGCACCAGTTGATCCAGAGCAGCTTTGGGTGGACAAATATGCCCCAAATACTTTTATGGAGCTTCTCAGTGATGAATACACAAATCGTGAGGTATAAAGCATCTGTTGGTTTTTTGTTCACTTTTGCCAATAATTTTCATTATGGTAATGGAGCGTTATCTGGTTACTTTGTGAGTTATTATCTAGATTGTTCATATAAGCCAAGGGTAATTTGGATACTGTACCCTATTGGTCTTGGTCTCAAATGTTACTCTGCTGCAGGTACTCCTCTGGTTGAAACAATGGGATTCAAGTGTTTTCGGATCTGAAATTAAGAGTACAGCAGATGATACTTTGTCTGCTCTGAAACGACATTCCTCTGCTGTCAAACACTTGAAGTTTCATGCTAGGAACTCTTTTGGAAGTAATCGAGAAACCAAATTGAGCAAAGAAAATTTTAGAACTCATAATTATCAGAATCAAGAAAAAAATCAATCAAATGATATTCAAGAAATGTGGGAGAAGAAGCAGAAAACAGTTGGTCATCCAAAACAAAAGGTGTGTTTTAATGCATAATATCTTTATTTGCATCATATTACAACATGCAACTGTCATCACTGCGCTGTATAAGAATGTGGCTCTGACAGGTATAACGTGAATGAACTCAAACTTAATTTGAAGAATAAGATTAGCCTATATAAGGTAATTGTGTTGGTTGAGTGTTGGCCTGACCAATTGATAGAAGCTTACCTGAGTATTAGTCCAGAGCAAATGATGAGTGATTTAGGAGTTTCTCCCAATCGTCATAAGCTATTAAATGCGAGTAATTTGTGTAGGAAAGGGTACTAAACTGAAAGTGCATATTTATAGCTTCAGGAGGATCATTCTCATCTCAACATATTCTTAGAGAGGCTAATCAACTCGGGAAGCCATATGGAGTTGGGATCCTTTCTTTTTTTTTTTTTTTTAATTTCATTTTTTCCCTTAATCCTTGCCTTCTCAATCCAATGGTCTTGTTAAATTAGGTTTGAAATATACATTGTTCTTAGCTGTGTTCCAGGTATTACTTTCTTTTAAGAAGCTAAGGTTCATGTTGTCTTCGATGGTTTGTGATCTCATTTCCAATGAATACAATGTTCCCAATCCAAGTCAAACCACACATCAAAAAGATGGATTTTTTTTCTTTCCTTTTACCAGTAAAAAAAATTAGAAATTTTTTTATTAATCTTGATATGGGATCATGTTGTGCATAAATTCTTCTTTGTCTTTGAAAACGCTCCATACCAGAAGCTGGAGGGCTTGTGTAGTATGGTGGTCTATTCTTCTGATTTGACTTCAGTTGGTTTCATCTCCTGTATTTAGATGGCCTCAATTGATCTATACAATGTTATTTTTATTTTGCTTGCTCATTTTTCATAGAGCACAATAGTGAAAATCTTTTGATGTACCATCCAACTACCTCTAGGTCAGTTATACCTCGTACAAACTGCTTTTTGCCATCTATTCCCCAGTTGGGCAAATTCTTAAACTGCTTTTCAATATCTATATTTTGGTTGCATGTCCTTATGTTTCTTTATTCATATTATTCCTGTTTTATGTTTCATGTTGATACTTATAGCTGAACATTCTGATTTTATCAGATTCTTTTGCTCTGTGGTCCTCCTGGCTTGGGGAAAACAACATTGGCGCATGTAGCTGCTAGACATTGTGGGTACCGCGTGGTGGAGGTTTGCAACTTTTTCCACTCAATTTGTTAACATCAATGATATGATATCTCGACTTCTATTGCTTATTTTGATAATCAACACAGACAAACTCGAATTCTCTAGATCTAAAGAGGTTGACATTTCTTTTATGCTGTTGAAACTATTACATTTCCTGATTTTGGGATGCTAGGTGTGGTCAACAAGCATACATTGTGCTTCATGGTACAATAACTAATTTGCTTTGAACTGATAATCACTGTACAATATATTCTTAAGCTCCTCTAATTGAGATTCCATTGGTGCTAACTATGGGGATTAATGTGTTTCAGGAGTCCTTTTTGAGGTTATGTTATGTGTTCTTCAGAACTTTTATGGTTTCTCTGCCTGTTCTTTATTATTGGATATCTTGAAACATAAATGGAGGTTTAACTGAAGAGGTACACATTTCAAAGGGATCTTCTGCTCATATTCCAGAAAGGAAGACAGAGAGCAATGGAAAATTAGTGCTGCAATAGCACTTTCAATTTTCATTGGCACGTGTTACAAAATACTGAATGTTTTGTTGGCCACTAGCATCTGCTTTACCTTTTATTTATTAATCTATCCTGGTGCTTTATCTGTAATGAGACTTCCTAACTTTGATTAGGAACTACCTAAAATCACAGTTTATAATCTTCAGAGACCCTTGTATTATTCCTCGTGCAAAACTTCTTGAGTGATAATTTTTCATTCACTATAGAATGCTTTTCACTACAGATTAATGCTAGTGATGATCGGTCGGCGTCAACAATTGAAACCAAAATCCTTGATGTGGTTCAGATGAACTCTGTAGTTTCTGATTCCAAGCCAAAATGTTTGGTTAGTTTTTGATGTTCACAACTTATTTCTGAGATTTCTGAGTAGAGTATACTTATTTTTCTAGTGTTTCCTTCCACATTGTCTAACAGGGTATATGAACTTTTCAGATTATTGATGAAATTGATGGTGCTCTTGGTGAGGGCAAGGGTGCTGTTGATGTCATTCTAAAGATGGTAACTTTCATAATCCTAATATCTTCTTTATGTTGTTAAACCTGTCATTTATTTGCAAGGGACTGCATGCTTAATCAGTCATTCACTTGCCAGCCAAATTAGCAATTTACTTTGTAATCTTCGTTAATTTGCAGAGACAATCATTTTGGATAATTGATGATAGAAGCCTTATGGATATTTTTTTAACAGCCATTTTGCAATTATCTTGTTATCAAGCTCAGATCAATTAACTTATTTCAAAGTTGTGGAGGTTTAGCAGATTTGTGATTTGAATGTGATCTGCATATTTGGATAAGTCACATATTGTAGCTTCTAAAGTTGCAAACTATGCTTAGTATAATGCATGTTGAGACTTGACAGAATAGTCAATCTTGCTCAGACCGAACTATATAGGTTTTAAGTTTGCTAGGTCGTTCCAGGATGTCTGCTTGGAGCCTCAGACTGATGGAGTTGTTCACCACTCTGAACCATAATTCTGTTGGTTATTTCTTATTCCAGTTATATGAATCCAAGACTGTGTTTTGCTCTGTAAATTCTTATTTTTTAAATTTTATTCAGTTATTCTAGACTTTTTCTGTGCTTGGTTACTCAGCCAGAATCTGAAAAAATATTCTGTGCCTATCTGAGACTAGCCATTTGGAGTATTCTAAGTGCTCACATATCTTATGCAGAAATTACAGAAAATTTTAGCCTATTTTGTCACTTCTTTTGAACTTCAGCATTCACTGTAGGCCTGTATGAGTTTCCGTACAGTTTTGGGATGGAAATATTTTTAACTTCTTGCCTTCAGACAGTCTAATCCAACGCAGATAATAAAGACAAATATTAGAGGATGTGAAGTGGGAAAGAAATATACCACGACACAGATCCCATCCTGTTTTTTTTTTAAGGGTCATTTTGGATACTCTATTTCTACACTTTCTTATGCCATTCTTTTACCGCTATAAGAAAGATCACAAGTGTAACATGCTAATATTTTGAGAAGTAGCATATACAAAATATCTAAAGGACGCATCTCCTGGACTGCAGTTAGTTTACCTGTCATATCTCAGGTGCATCATACGCAATGCCAATTTTTGGATCCATTGCTATTGCTAATTCATACTTGCAAAAAGGTGGCAATTCTTTTGACATTGTTATATGGATAGGTGATCAGAATTTGGTAAATTAAGAGGTTGCACTAGTGAGGGGCTAAGGATATTTATCTGATTTACTCTGTCAAATTTTTCAAAATGTAGTTTAATAGTTTAACTGGAGAGTAATTAATGTCTCTAAATGGCACTCAGAGTTGATTGTTCACATTCAGTAATATGTGATTTTGTATACCAACTATTCATGCTTAAGCTGTATATTCTTTTTAACTAACACTGTTCAAATATTGTTCCTGAAGGTTTCTGCTGAAAGAAAATCTGATAGTGGAAAAGAAATTAGAGGTCAAGAGGAACATTCTGGACCGAGATCTTCCAAGAAGCAGAAAAACACATCCTTGCTAAGACCTGTAAGCTTATCCTGACCTTGAGTTCTAAGTTAAATTAGTCTCTTCATACTGATATTGTTAGTACCAATATGCAGGTGATTTGTATCTGTAATGATTTATATGCACCTGTCTTAAGGCCACTGCGTCAGGTGGCAAAGTAAGTATCTTGACGCTTCATCAATGAAATTACATGGTTTTGATTGAACTTATGCTGAAATTAGTGGATTATTTCAATTCTCAAAAATTTTCATTCAGAATTCTCCTAATATGCTTTGATCAAGTCATCCTTACATCCATCGTATTACCCATGGTAAAACTTTGACTTTGAAAGCAATGGGGGATAAGATGATTCACTTGCAACATGACTAAAATACTGCAATCTTATTTATATTACGTCTTACCTTGAAATGAATTAGTTATAAGTATGATAAGATTCAAAAACTTGTCAGTAGAGCCTTCCTGTGTCCCTTAGATCTAAGAATTAATAAAAGCCATTTTTCTTCAAGCTTTTCTCTTTGGTATTTGCTGGATTCACTTGCCTTTTAGTGCCACAATCTTATCTAATTAACCACAGCTAATCAAGGTGTTTGATTCTTAAATTTTTATCAACTTGTGACTTAGTTTTCAAATATTTTGCTAGTTCTTTAGATCTGTAAAACTTGGGAGGTGAGTTTATACTCTTTACTTTTAATTTTTTGAATTTCTAAGTGAGTATGATACATTTTAGTGTTGCTATGTTTTTCATCTTTATATTTTTTATTTTCAGAACTCTAAATAGAATATATTTCAAATTCTTGTTACTTCATGTGATATATATGCTCTTTTTGACTATAAGAAGGTTTGCATGAATAGCAGCACAATAACTGGAAGGTCACCAAGACTTGGCAGAATATAGTGATGAACACTAGTAAAACAGTTGTGGTGTAAACATATGGAAAGATTTTCTATATAACCTTTTGCCTGTTTCCAAACCCCATGAATATTATGATTTCTTTTTGAAGAGTTGCTGCATGAAACTTACACTTGTTTGCTAACTTTTGGTGCAAGAGAAAATGTTTTATATGAAAATATCCTAATATTGTTTCAGTACTAAAAAAGGAGAGAACATTCTGTCCCCAGGTTTAAAGAAATAACACGCTCCAATACTTCATTGTTCAACTCGAATGTATTCAAGGTGCAATATGGGTTGTCTGAATACTTTATCTCTTCAAGGCTAAGCAACATTATTTAATCGAACCTTCCTAATTAATAGACAACCTCAGTAGGTAGCATATTATCTTCACTTGACTACAAAATTATAAAGGTACATTCTAGATAGTACTTGCCCCTTTGTTAAATTTCATTCCGCGAACCCTTTTTTTTTTTTTTTGGTTAAAGCCCATGACCGTTTATTTTATTATTGTTGTTTCGAGGACATGAGCTGCTTATTACTTAGTCAGATATTCCTGGACAATGTTTACTCATGCAAAATACTAATGTTAATATGGCTGAAACACTCTCGTGCATATAGTTTCTCCAAATGCAAAATTTAGCTGACTAGCTCCAATGAGAATTTGAACAGAAGAAAAAAACAAAGAACTGGCTTCCAATAATTATACCTTGCTTAGGTCAATCATGGATTTTAGCTGATATTGGAAAAGCCTTTTGTCAGATTCAAAAAGTTCTAGAGAGTGATATTTTTAGAGTTAACTAACATCTTTGATTGCAATTCTAATGATCTTTCTGTTCTTCAATTCTTTTTCAATTTTCATTGCAGGGTTCAATTATTTGTGCAGCCAACTGTGAACCGTGTTGTAAACAGGTCATTTTTTCATGATGCTGCTGAATGATAGGTTAACTGGAGTCATCTTCTTGTGCTAACTGACGCTATTCTCTATTTATTCTGGCATTATCCCTGAATTGTGGTGCTATTTATGGCTCTTTCGACCAGCTTGTTTTAGAAGTTTAATTTGGACCCCATGTTGATTAACGGGGAGAATTACTGTAAGGAAAGTCTCTATTTAAAACTGTATTCAGAAATTAGCTGATAGATAGAATTGTTGTACAATCACTATTTTACCTAAGTATTTGCAGAGAAATTTCTCTGTGAAAACAATAAATAAGCAACTGTTAAAAGCATCTAGATGGACCAAACCAAAATTCACATGAATTTGGCTGAAATTTTATGTGTTCGTTGATATGGAATAGAGAATTGCATGGTTTTTCTAATTTAAACTGGTGGTAATCATACAAGAAGGCTTTCTTTTCTTACCTTTAGCCTTTTTAATTTCTTTTTGCTTTAGTTATACTTCTATTAGTTTCCCTTCTGTTATATTGTTTTGAAACTACAAACGTCATATTAAATGTTGAAGATCACCCCCAATCATTTCCTTTAGGAACTTTGTTTTGTATGCACAAACACATCGACGCATGTATGTGCATGTCATGAGAAAAGCTTCGCATCATTGACCTGAATGATCTTCTCTAGTTTGCAGTTTTGGCTTGAGTTCTGAAGTTCCATCTGTTAATCTCTATGTTTGACCAATTGAGTAACCATAATTGAATTGCCAATTTTCATTTTTCTTACCTGCTGCCGCCACTGGCTGAAATAATTGTAGGCTCAAGTATATATGCAACAAGGAAGGGGTGAAGACAAATTCCATTTCTCTAACAGCACTGGCAGAATATACTGGTGTGTCCCATTCACTAAAGCAGAGCTGTGTGTTTCATTGTTTATACCACAGTTATATAGAATTTACCATAGTTGCCATCAGTTGTAAATGCAAAAATTGATAGAGACTATGAGTTGATAAAGTATAACAGAAAATTTAGATCAAGTTGACAAAGCTGTGATGTAATTTGATACCTGTTAACACCTATCTTTGACGTGTCTTGTTAAGGCATCCGATGCAAAATCATATACCATAAGTAGAGGGAACTGGGGAGGTGGTCAGGTTTGTTTGTTTGGCTTGAACCAAAATGCAGTTGATGGAATAGATCTTTAATTATCATAAGATGGTAAATCTTTATCACCTCGTGTTTTATGTGCAAGTATCTTGGGCTTTAGCTTACAGGCATTGCATATTTCTGAAATCGAAAATGTTCTTGAAGCTTCTGATTAAATGGGATAGGAGATTTATTTGACTTTATATGTGGTAAGTTTTCATAAAATGGTCTGGACGTAGTTTATAACTGTGTCATCGTTGTCAGGAAATTTAAACAAGTTTTGTTTTGAACTTAATAGATGATGATGCCTTATCAAGCTTCTTTAGGAATGTGTGAAAACTGGAGAAAGAAGCAGCTGTTTTAAAAGTGTATAGGATGCCTTACCATAAAAATTAGAATCATAGAGTCTGAATGTTTATGGTAAGGCATCCTATACACTTTTAAAACAGCTGCTTCTTTCTCCAGTTTTCACATCCATTTTCTTTTTTCGATATTGAAGCAATTGTTAATAACCTGGAAAAAGATTATATTCACCAAATACATATTTCTTTAAAAAGCTGGGCAACATTGATGAAATAATGATAAACACAAAGTTCTCTAATTGCATCATTTACTGGTTTAGTGATAATAGATTGCCTGGCTATTCAAATTAATTGCGTATGGAGCATACATTACGAGAAACTTTTGTGCCTATGATTGATAGTTGAAAAGGACAAGAAGTAAGTTAACTATCAAGTACTTGGTCCTCGGATGAACTCAGTATGGACAATTAAAAACAAGTAGTGTGATCTGAGATTTGGTCAAATAGGCAAAATGTTAAGAAGTCTAGGATTTCGTTGGAATTATTTGTCACAAAATAGGAATTACACAGTTGAAAAGTTTGTGAAGGTATAGTTATCCTCAACAATATGTCGAAAGAGATATTTTTCAGTTTTCTCAGTTACACATTATAAGTCGAAATGAAGTCATATCATGTTATTTAGTTCCATTCATTTTGCGCAATTAATTTTTATTTTCATATTAATCACTGCTTTTTCTCCCCCTGCCTTCCAAAAAGAATGTGACATAAGGTCCTGCTTGAACACTCTTCAGTTTCTCAACAAGAAGAAGGAGGCACTCAATATGGTAAGTTGTTAATTGTTTTTCGCTTTTATCATCATCATTCTAGTGGAAATGCCAAACTGAACAGAGGAACTTGGGCTAGTTGCCACAATTATATCAACTGTGCCTGTACAGTATCTCTGAGGTAATCTCTCTCGTCAAGATTTCATGCATTGTGATTTCTGTGATGCGATTTAATGTTACTTGAGGTTAGCTCTTGCTGGTGTACTTATCCTTCATTATGTTGAATATGTAATATTGACAGTTCCTTTATAGATCATTAAAAAGCTATTTACTGTTTGGACAATAAAATCGTTAAACCCGAGTAATACTGACTTCCCTTTAGACTCTATTGAAGCCTGGTCTGAAATTGCAGCTTACCATCAGAGCAAGCTGCATATAGACCAGGTTCTTATAGTTGTGAACTTATAAGTATTACTAATCTAACTCAAATTCTTCTCATCAAAAACCTTATCCCTCTCCATTCAGCTGGTTCTGGGCAATATTTGATATGAGATCAGAGTTTGTCCTGCCTTTTAGCTATTTAAGAACATTTTACTACATCTTTTACCTTAATAATTGGTGCTTAGAACTTGTTTTATTGTGAATTTATAGGTCTGTGCTGAATTTTCCTAACCCATCTTGAATTGTACATTTAGGTTTGCCATCTATAGTGATTTAGTTAGTATGTGGAGAAACTGCCTTGAATCCTAAAATGTGATGCATTTGTAGCCGATGTTGTAACATGAAGCATTTGCAGTGTGGTTTTGTGAACTTTCCTTCTTGAAAATTGCCTATTACATGATATTCCACATGCGCTCCTGGATTTGGCCAACATTGTGTAGCCGTAGTTCTACGAGTCTCTCAACTGCCATTAGTCTGGTATTGCAAATTCATCTTTAAAAGCTCTCATTCTATTAGAGAGTTTTTCAGAAGTGATTCTCCATGAACATAATGTGTGCATATATATGATAACTCAACATTTGAAAGCTTAATCATATCTATTTGTTTTGACAAACGATGGAATTTTGAGCTGGCTTTTTACAATGAACTTTCTCAGCAATAGTTTGCCAATAATTCCAAATAAAAGATGGTTCTGCAAATTAACATTCTCTTGTAGGGTCTGGTAGGTTATGAGGTTTTCCTATCTATCAACTTAAAACCTCTTAACTTTTTTTTTTTTAGCATTAGCTGAGTAATATTTTTCCCTGTTGTTAGCTCAATGTTTGATATTTCCTCTTGGCTCCCAGTTGGAGATCAGTTCACAAGTGGTTGGCCGAAAGGATGCATCAAAAAGTGCTTTAGATATATGGAAAGAGGTTAAATCATTAGTAGCTGTTACTCTCTCTAACTTTTCTTCACCTTATGTTCATGTCATAACATCTTCAGATTGAAGTTCACATCACTTGTTATGTTGTGCTTCCTGTCTGACTCATCTTTACTTCCTAACTACAGGTATTCCAAAAACGAAGAGTCAAACGGGAAAGACAATGTATGAACATCTTGAATAACATGTCAAATGAGCTTGAGTTTCTTCTCTCTTTGATATCTAATCGGTAGGTAACTACATTACAATTGGTAGCTTTATAGCCATTTTCTGAGTGATGCATTTAAGTTCAATGATTTGCAGTGGGGACTATGATTTAATCTATGATGGGATCCATGAAAACATCTTACGACTCCACTATTATGACCCTGTAATGCAAAAGACTGTAAGTATTATACCATCACTATATATTCTTGACTATCTGCTTCCAAATTTGGATCTGACCATTTACCATTTGATATTTGTATCAAAGGTCCAATGCCTGGATAATCTTGAGGTTTCTGATATAATAAACAAGTATGTTATGCGCACACAACAGATGTCACTTCAAGGTAAGAGAATTCTACAACTTGGAATCATTTAAGTGTAAATCGGTATGGAGGTGAAGCTCCCTTTATTCCTTGAATCTTGTAGTTTATCAGCCCCAAGTTGCAATGATCATACATGGCCTGATAGCTCAAGTTGATAGGCTAAATATTGAATGGCCAAAATCTTTTCAAAGGTACTTCACTTTCATCTCAAAGAATGTGGCAAAAGAATTTAGCATTATATCTGATTGTGTCAGATTGTTATCAAGCTTTGGAGTTTTTACTGCTATTTTTGAAATTTGAACATATAGGTACCGGACCGTGTCATTGGAAAAGATGGATATACTCCGCTCCTGGCATATCAAAATATCACCACACATCTCAAGGCATTTGTCAACTAAGTCATTTGCGGAAGAGTTAATTTCTCCATTCTTGCATATTCTGTCTCCTCCAACCTTGAAGCCGGTAATGTTTACACACTTATTTCCTAGTTGCATGCTGCACACAATGCCATTTTTTCGGCTTGATATGGGATTCCTGTTCTTAGTGCTTTCTTCTAGCAAGATAAAGGTGTAAAGTACTGTCATCTTTAGTTAGTTTTAACCACATTGCCTATAGAGGAAACAGCTCCAATTAAGACAGGCCATCCAACAGTTTTTACCTAGGGCAATGAGTACCATTGGGTAAGAAGCTTACGGTGTGGTTTCTATTGTAGGTGGCGTTGCATCTACAATCGGAGAAAGAAAAAACTGATTTGGCTCAATTAGTAAATACAATGGTCTCCTATGCTTTAAACTACAAGAACTTACAATCTGGTCCTTTATTTGGTGGCCCAAGACACGAAGATGTTTTGGAGGGGTCATTGCTATCATTTGATCCTCCCATTGAGGACTTCATAAAATTCAAGGTTAGTTTTGTTTTCTTCACCTGATATGAATTTTTTCCCAGTGTTTTTTATTTGCAGCATCCTAAGTTGTAAAGAAGTTTTCTTGCTTTTGACTTATTAACAAATATCTGCAATTCATTCATTCCTTAAACAGGGATACAGTTCTTGTCATTTTGTTCTGGCCTCAGCTGTGAAGCAATTGTTGGTACATGAGGTAAGTAATGTGTTTATATTGTCACGAAGCATCATCTATAAGTTGTTCTGTGTTGGTTTCTTGTTGCACAATATCATAAATAACTCTTTGGTGTTACCCAAATAATAACCTAGCCCAGCTTCGATATGAGAAGTTATGTAAATTACTTCTATTTTACTTATTTTGCATGGCTAGTACACCATTTCTGAGTTGTCATGGCTTTATTTATGTGGACCTTTCTACTCGTGAAGCTATACAATATACCAAGAAGTAGAAAATTTCAGCCACATGGCTGTTTGTCAAACTACCTGTAATTCAAACTTGATGGGCCTGAAATTGAAAATGACTGGTTTGGTGGCTTAGGTTTGATTGATTTATTCTGGACACTTCTGGGGACTAAAGTTACTTGGTGTTGGTCAAGTCTAATTACACATTCTGTGAGTACAAGAGGACCTTTTCTTGCCCTTTTTATCCTTGCTCTTTTGGGGAAAGCGGGGGTGTTGTATCTCTTTCTTCTGAATAAATTGAAATAAATAATTACTGACAATCTTGGGACCGTTTATTCAATACCTGGGCAATGAAAAGTTAATGCAATTTTACTGGCTTATCCAAGTTTTTTCAGGTACCTGTATGCTTGTTTTTCCAATTTGTAAAGTTAAGATGTGCTATTAATGTGGTTTGCTTCTGAATGGTAATTACTGTGGCTATATTGTTTTCCATGATGTAAAGAATTGACGAATTATTTCTTAGATTAGAAGCACTTGACTGTATGATGAAAGTAACCTGTGACTTTTCAAAATATTTGCACACCTAAGATGCCTAATTATCTGATTAGGTCACTTGATATTGTTATTTTTCAGTCTCTCTTCACTGAATAATTGAAGTATTTTCCTTGGGCATGATATTACGTTCTTGCTCCATTTTAAGAAATGTTCTTATAATCTGCTTCGATAGTTCTGAATTTTGCTTATTTTGCTAGACATATATTGTGTGTCATCAGGACAAGACAAATCATGTCTGTATCCAAATTTGCACGTCATTCTTCATTTTTGTCGAGTGTGAAACAAGATTTTCCCCTATATCTCTGTGCCTTGAATAATTTATGCCTTACTATTGGTAGTAACAGACACAATGTGAAATTTTCAGGTGGAAAAGCATAAGATTTTGCAAGGCTGCACTACCAGATGTTTGGACCCATTGGATGCTTCCAATCAAGAAAACTGTTCCTTGGCAGGGAAAGAGAATCTAAGTTCACAATCTACCAGGTCTTGCATGGGAATTGCAACAGTTAAGAAGCAGACAAGTGCTAAAAATATATCACTGCAAGTACAGAATGGACTGTCAATGGTGCAACCATTAACTAAAGAAGCCAGCACATTGGAAACAGCAAGTGGAAAAGTAAGATTACCTGAAAAGACGAGGAAGCTGTTGAGCTCCTCTAACTTCTTTGACAGGTATATTCTTGTTCATTCAGTCTGTGCCTAGACTTTTATGATTTGATTCTGAAAGCAGTGAGTGATTTAGACTTAGTTAATAAAAAAAATAGAGAAGAGTGAATTGTCTTGTATTCTGTGTAGTTGAACTGGTTACAACTGAAAAGTATAGATGTTGAATTTGTTATTTAAAAGCATGAAAAAATTACTAATTTGAACAGTAGAAAGTTATGCAAGTCTAAGAGGTTTAGAGCGCCAAAAATTTTGAGATTGAAATTTTGGCATTACCTTGAAAGCTATAGATGCTATTTCAGTGTTTTGAAAGTATCAGAAGTCACTTTTGCCTTTTCCCCTTGTTCCGTCTTGAATACTGTTCAGAGCTTTTAATTTAACACATTCCAATTCTGCTGATAGATTTTGTGTTAAATCAGGTTTAGAAAGGTCAAAAGTGATGGTTCTGAAAATGTCAATCAAAATGTGGAAGCATCAGGAACAGCAGAGAGAGATTTACGTCCTCTATTATTCAAATTTAATGAGGTATGTAACTTTTTGTACGTTATTTTTGCTGTCATTGCTCTTGTTCTTCAGCACATTATCTGTATATTTTTTTTTTTGACAAAAAAAAAAATTCTAGAGTACTGTATAGGTCCACAATCATTTCACTTGTTTCTAATGCTAGTTCTGTCTTGAATACTGCTTGCGAATTATATGAAAGCTCAATTCATCATAAATTGAGAACTTGCTTAGTTGTTTATGAAATGCTAGCGAAAACTTATTAATTCAATGGAAGCCTCCTATTGTTTCAGAGTTGGACAGGCATCTGTTTTGATGATGAAAACACTTGAATTTATAGAGTTATTGGCATAAAGTGTTTGGGCCCAGGAAACAACATGTGATACTTTTGGATTTAATATATCTGACTATGAAGTCAATCTGCACCCCACGAACTTTAATTTCCTTCAATCCTCGAAAATGCGGTTTTCACTGTTTATTTGAATTTGAATCCCAAATTTCATTAGACCGAGTAGTCCCCCAGGAAAATTTCAGGATGACTCCTATGACAAAATTGCGCTTAATATACGGTAATACATAATTCTCCCAAACATTGAAAGTAATGGGATTTATAGGTTCCATGTTAATGCATCAGCTTATTTGGAAAAACTAGCTACTATCCTGAGAACCTAGCAAGTGCAACTGACAACTCTATCAAGCATTTTTGGTTGGCCAAACGTTGGATAAACAGAGAAAGAGCTGGGTGGAGGGAATTGGAAGGACAGAAATTATTTAGAAGGTTTTGATCCATTATGGTGTTTTACAAAGGGATCATAGAGTTGTGCCAGATCATTATGATTCTGTCTCTAGTCTCTACCCATGCCTGACATCCATTCATGAAGTTGTCATTCTATGCTGGCAAGGAAAAGATTTTATATCTTTCCTAGTGCATTTTGGTTTGCTATTCATCTGCGAACATGTTTCTGCCACTATAAGCTTCCAAAATAATTTCACTAATAGTTCAAAAGTATAACGTCCCAGAATTTTTAGGCAAAAATGGTAGTTTTGACCGACGAATATCTTCAACTGGTGCCATGATGCTTTTGTTAGTTAATTAAACTCCATAAAGGCATATCCCAAGCTTCACTTCAAGGAAGTGTCTTTCTGTACTTCACTTGGAATTTGAACTGTGTCAGAAAAGGGTCTTAAGATTTTCCTTCTCACAAAATCTAATGGTACAAGTTTAATAAATTATGACTTAAGAGCCATTCTAATGGGAAAATTGAAGTACATTATCATAACTACTGTGCGATTGTGCAGGGTTTCACAAATGCAGTAAAGAGACCAGTTCGAATTCGTGATTTTTTTCTGTAATGGAAAGCATTTCCTGGGAGCGTGTACTGCCTTAAATCTAAAGTAAGCAGCTAAAATTTTGCAGCTTCTTCATTTATGGAGACCACAGTTGTGATTTTGACCACGCTGTTTAGTTACTTTGACGCTGGGGTACTCTGAAATTTTAAGTGCTGAGCAATTTATAGCTCTGCTTATGGTATCTGTGATATCTGTCTTACAACTTTAACATGTAAATTTCCTGTTTATATCACCAATTACCGTCATAATGTAAGGTTTTATTGCAAATCTAGGAGCAAAGAATACCTCAATTGACATGGAAACCTTCCACAGACAGAAATTCAAATAATTGCATATATCTAACCTGGGAATAAAATTTTTAATAGTGCAGTGAAAAGTAATTTAATGTTGAAGTCTTAATTTGATTAGATTCATAAAATACCGTCCGATGTGCATAGCACTTGTAAAGCTAGTTAAGATGACGAAGCAACAGGCTATATGCATCTAGGATGCTTGTATAATTCTCTGAAGAGAACTAATACTTGATTAATAGCATCTAGAAGTGGTCCAACTAAAAACAACAAAAGAAAGAAAAATCAGGGCACACTGCACAATTAAGAAGACAGAATTTCTCTAAGATATGTACGCCTTACAACTGGACTGGTTAGGGTTACAAAAATCTTTAAGAGGAGACTGGAGGCATTGCAGGAGAGATCAACGAACCAGAGAGCAAGATAAGTGAAATTTGCTTAGGTTAAAGGGGATATAATAAAGCACTAGAACAGATCAAAACTTTTAGGTCAAAAGAAATCAAGGTTCAGATCTCTAGGGCCACTTGCAGTAGCACCCTGAGGAGGACTGATGGTAATCCAAAGCAATGAGATAGTGATGGAAAGAAGTCCTGTCCAGACATAAACTATGGTGGGCAATCTTCCTCTTCTTCCCATCAATCCTTTGGCAAAAGGATACATGTGGGCCAACACCCAGAAGCTGAAGAAAGCTCCACCAAACAGCTTACCCCACTGTGGAATTACACTATAAACTGTTCTTGAAATTCCAAGTACTAGAGCAATGAGATTGACCACTATGATTGTTAGGGGCATTATAAATAGACTTGTCCACTTGACAACATACAGATCGGCATAGATGTCATCTTCATCTTCTGCAGTAGCTTTTGCTGTCAATTTGAATGAAATTTCAACACCAGCTATTGCCTTGAGGAGTCCCTGTAGCACCGCTGCAAGGTGCGCACTAGTACCACCAATGGCCCAGAATTGCTCATTACGCCACAACTCCTCGAGGCCAATACCTGACCACTTCACTTCAAGGAGTGAAATGAGAGTGAGTGTGACAGTGATGACAAGGAGGTAGCAGAGGAATGCAATATTTAGGCTTTGAACAATGAATTGCCCAGTGAAGAGGGACAAAGCTGGGAGGAAACAGTAGACCACAAGGAATATGGAGGTAAAAGGGTAGACTCCAACATTGAAGTATGCCACACGTTGGAGGAATTTGAGGCGCGGACTTGCTAGAGCGGGATTGTTCCTGGAGAAGAAGATTTCAACTGAACCTGTTGCCCATCGAAGTACCTGATGTAGACGATCTGTGAGATTGATAGGTGCAGTGCCACGAAAAGCGTCTCTTTTTGTGATACAATAGACAGACCTCCATCCACGATTATGCATACGATAACCTGTGACCACATCTTCTGTCACTGATCCATAGATCCACCCTACTCTGTCTCCCCACTCTGTCTTGTCCTCATACCTGCATTCACATACAGTGTACATATACACTTGAAACTAGTTCTTTTTATGCGCTTTGATCTGCTGAAGAAAAGTTCTATTTGCTAATTGTCCATTGTCCACGAGTAAGAATCTATTTGCAGCAAGAGTAAATAGAGGCTGCTAAGTGTTGTTAAAAATGATAGTCTAACAGGCAAAACTGAGTATATAATTACCAACAAGAGATAACGGCAATAGCCTCAGCTACAGTTGGAGCATCAAGAGGGGGACGTGCAATGATCAGTGCACCTGGAGGCCGTCCGTTCTTTACAGAAATGTGATCAGCAAGTGGTCTTCCTTGATACTCAGCCACTGCTATAGAGTCAACAAACAGAGTGGAATTCCCAAACTTCTCTGGCACGGCCAAGTCAGGATGTGCTGTCAGGGGCTGCGACTCATCCTCCTCAGCTTGTGACCTAACCTTTTTAGATGGAGCCTTGTTTTGTCCAAACACGCCCGAGTATTCATTTGCCCGTGGTGGGTGGAATCCATAGAGTGCATACCGACGAAACATGCAACCAGTTCCAACATACACTGGACCTTGAAGACCATCCAATGCCCGCATGTTCCCTGATGCATGCAGAGTTACAGTTTTTGATATTTTGTTTGCTTATATAGAATTTTACGAGTTTAAGACATCATGAAAAATGAAGCCTCCACTGGGATAAAGCTTCTACAGGTTGGTTCTTATCATGGTTATTTCTGTGTTGCTTTTCAATTCATCTATGAGGTTTTAACTCTCATGCCTTTCCTTTTTTATCAAGAAGTTCATCATCATAATAGAATTATGAGCTGGATCTCTGCCTTCTTACATTAAAGCTTTCTTATGGGGGACATAATTTTACCTTTTGGAGAAATGCCTCTTTATCTTTGGATTCATCGTAAGGTAACACTTGTTGGAAGAAAACCATTGCATGCATCACAAGTATCTTAAGCACATAAAGCTGATTTAATATACTTACAAATCATATATTGATTACAAAAGCCATATTGTTTTTCTATTTTCTTAGTTTTTGACTTAGAGGAACTGAATCCAAATGCATACAGTTACAGAACTTTATTGCATAAAGATAGTACTTGTTACTTTTGATGTGTATTTGCCATCAAGTTTGTTTAGTGTTAATTGATATACATTTACTTGGTCTAGTTCAGGTTTCACGTAAGTCTCAAGACAGAATTGTAAACCTACAGATGTTTCCTCTTCTTGTTTTTATGCAGTTTTTGTTAACTTGGATTGAATGCTTAACTCGAAAGGACATGGAAGGGATACTAGACGGTTATACTGGAAGAGTATCAGGATAGAAAACGTGTTTGAGCTAAAATGAACTCTAGTTATGTCCTTACAAACTTATCCAGTGGAAAGTCAGTTGAAATAATCTTACCATCAAAAAAGACAGTGTTGTGATTTGCGTATCTATCTGAGGGATCAATTCCTTCAAATCTTTGTGGGAACTGTACATAGCAGACACGGTCACCACCACGGTCCATCATGTAGCATATGCCTTCCCTCATTGCCATAGAGTTATAGATGTAATGGTCACAGTCCAAGTTAAGAATAAATGGTCCATTGGAAAGTATTGCAGAAGCTCTGACCAAGGCATTCATGGCTCCAGCCTTCTTATTATGATCATAGCCTGGTCGTTTCTCTCGAGAGACATAGGCAAACATGGGAAGTCGTATATCAACACCACTAAAGTCCAACCTCTTTTCATCTGGATGACCCATTACAGGATCATGTTCTGGCACCTTGCTCATTATCTGTAGGAAGGAAGATTATGTGAATTATATGTGACTTGACTTTAATAGGCAGTGTATAGATCAGGATTTCCTCTTAGAATAAAAGATAGCTATCAAATCGGGAGTTTGAGAACAAAGAAACCACCGAAATGGTTAGAACTTCATGTCATGTGTGACATATTACTGTCTCTGCATTCTAATTGAAAACAGTTTGATTGCATATGAAACTTCCTCTTTAATCTCTTTTGTACACTCTGTCTCTCTATTTGCTTATCAATAGATGTATTGAAACTGAACGTGCAAAATGTGTTCTATGGTTGATTTACTGTAAGATAACTACGTAGAAAAGTTTTACATGGCCACCTGCAGAATTCCGGCATGATCACCCTTTGAGTGATCGGCTGTTGGTGTGAGCCATGTTCCTGGCCAATGAGTTCCATCTGCCATCCATGTGGCCTTGGCAACATTGGCCTTATCTGTAGCACCATTTGTCTCTGCATTTAGCTTCTTCTCCTTTGAATTGTACAATTCACACCTTTTCCGTATAACTTCAGGCAGACCATTGATCCTGACCTTGAATTCATCGTACTCCCTCTTGATCCACCGGCGGTCCTTGACAAAATCAGGGCGCTTCTTGTTTTTGGTAGGATCAGTTGTCTGACTGAAGTAACTCTCTGGATTCCTTGGTTCAATATTGTGCTTCCTGCAGAACGGTACCCAAACCTGTCGAATTTAAAAACTCTTCAGGACGATACAAAATGTATCTGGACATGCATATCCATAGTGCATGTTCATTACTAGATTCATTAATCTTCGAATGAAGAGAATGAGAGAGAAAAATGTTTCATCCTTTAGCAAGTTCTCTATATTTTTGGATATGTGCTTGTGTATTGTGCACATGCAAAGGAAATAAGTACAAGAAAATCATGCATTTCTTTAAATTGACAACAATGTTTATCTAGCATGTTTCGTACAAGTATATTTGGCTCTACGTGTATTCAGAGGCTTTAGGCAATAGTATCTGCAATCTTACATGCTCATGTATCCCAGAAAGCAAGTAGATGCAATGCTCAATTTCATACAGACCTCAGCAAAGTTGACAGTCTCAGCCATGGCCTCAAATGTGAGTATGGCACCACCGTCATCTGAAATGTAGATTGAGACTTTCTCAACAGGATATTCAACTGCAAGGATGGAAAGGATGGTATTTGCAGTAAACAGAGGAGGCTCTTTTTCAGGATCAGCTGTTGAGATGAACACATCAATGCCAGGGAGGTCAGATCGGCCATGGGGATTGGAGGGAGAAGATGACTCAAACTTCTCTTTTAGGGCTGCAAGGTCAGCTGTTCGGTTGATAGGATTGAACTTGGGAAGTATATCAAGCACCCACGAGAACGCAAACCATATCTCACATACAATGGATATACCCCATAGCCACATTGCTTCTCGATTAGGATTTCGTACTCGCCATCCAAGGAAGAGGAAGAGTGTTATTAGACGGACCACTATCAATAACCTGTATTTACAAAATTTTGGTTAGACTTGAGCCAACAGCTTTTTCTTTGTCGAGTTGTTTTATAAAGCAGTGTGGTAGGATGACCACGAGAAAGGAGTGGAAGGAAAATGGTACAAGCTTCTCACACAAAAAATTTTACCAGGAAGTGTTTCTCAATCCCTCTAGACCTGCAATTTTTGCTGTTATATTATCGCAATTGGGGTCATGATCCCCATTAAAACCTGACCATTCTTGAATCCCTTTTGGAATCTAAGTCCTTCCAGATTGTATGTTCCATCTCACTCCAGACTTTACCATCGTGGGCTTTCTTCAATAATGGAAACTTTGCTCATTTCTACTGGTTTGGAGGTGTCAAAACTATTTCACTCTTTTTCAATACCTTGGAGTGATTAGGCAAAGGCGATAATGATTCCCAACCATGAGCAAAATTTACTAGGTGAGTTAAAGACTTGCCAAAGTCATTTTTCATCTGATCAAGACTTGCAGTGAGTTTCAGCTCATTTTACTACCAAGTCTCATCCCTTTGTGGATGATTTACTGGCAGGTTGAACCATGATTTCAAGGCATAACTAGTTCAAAAAGGACACCTTGAAATAACAAGGCAACCCTGCAATTTGTACCCGAAACCATTTACCACGCAATAAAAAAAAAACCTCCATGTGTCCCCTCATAAAAAAAGAAAAGGAAAAGAATGAAGAAAGTAAATTAAAAGTTTTTCATGCCATTTTAGTGCAGCTACTCTTGACTCGAGACTTAAACAAAACATTTTAAACATCATAATCAAGCCATCAATTCTCCAGAAGAAAGGGGTAGAAGAAAGGAAGAGGGGTGCACCTGTAAGGACTGAGAATCCCAGGAGGAACCTTGATTTTTCTGGTAAGCGGCTTCCAAGGCTTGTCCAAAAAATCAGACATGCCTAAACCAGTATCTTGATCATATGAATCCTCTTGCCAGAAAGCATTTCCTATCCCATACTTTCCTTTTGTTTCAAACAACCAGCGATTGTGATCAAAGTCACCAGTTTGGCTCCTCAACAGCATTGATTTGTTATTACTAGAGTTCATCAATGACATCCTCCTCTCCAACTTTCCACTCGCATTCCCCATACCACCGCCACCAATTCCACCATAATTCCCTTCGTCCTCGCTCCCGATACTGCTCATTCGTACACGTTGCGACTCATTGCGAAACCTAGACGCCGTGCCATAGGGGCTAGGCCCGTCAGGCTTGTCGCCCGAGGCACCGGCATTTGATGATCCTCCAGGTTGGTTGTCCGGCGTTGGTGGCATGAGTACTGTATAATTCATAAAGTCACTTGAACCTGAAAATTCTTCTGCCATATTTATCTCATCGTCCCGGGAGAGGCTCACAACACGGCCACTTGACGTCCTACGTGCAAATTTTACGGCCTGCGGTGGCCGACTAGCGTCCGACGAGGATTTTTTTGGGCCTGATGAAGTCGCCATTATGATATGATCTTCTAAGCTCTACTCAAACATCTACGTACATGGCTTTTTTTTAAGGTGCCATGAAATGATCAAAGGCATGTGAGGCAATTAGGCACCTGCATGGATTTCCCCATGTATATTGGAACAAAATTTACGACATTATTGGGTTTAACTGAAACATAATCCCAGATTAAGTTATGAAAAATCAAAGGATCCTAGCTTCACGAAAACAAGAAAAGATGTTTAACAAAAAAAATGAAAAAGAAAAAGAAAAAGGCAATGCTCAATGGCCTAGAAAACCAAATTGCTAAAATTGTGCTTTGGTGTTGTCAATGGTTCTTATTTTTCGTGACAAAATTTTCCTACACAGCCAACATCCCCCTTCTTTTACGCTAGGCCTCAAATGTAAAATTCACAAACAAAAAAAACCATAAGAATAGATTCAAAAGTTTTCAACTAGAGTACCTCGTGCTTACTTGATTCTGAAAGTCCATCTAATTGTATGAGGATCTATACCAAACCAAAGCTATCATATTAGTTTGACTGCATATTAGTTCAAGCTACAATTCTCAAGAAACTTTACTTTGCCTTTTTCTGCTAACATATAGTACATTTTCTTTAAGCTGACAGCCATTTCATTAAGGGTTTTTTTTTTAAATGTTGAATTAACAAAAGATTTTGACGGTTGATGTCTCATTCACAAAGTTGAATGCAAATCTGGAATTTTAATCAAATTCAAGTGAAAAAAAAGAAATTTGACACATATCTGCCCAAGTTAAAGATTAGCATGTCTTGCTTCAATCCTCCTCCACTGTTGTTCCCTTTGCTTTGATCATAGCAAGTTTGAGAGCCACTGCATTGTCCATCAGACTATTCCCAACACTGAATTCCTACAGTGCCCACTGAAATGAAAATTCTTTGGGATATACTTTCCTGTATAGAACTCTTTCCAACCCCCTGTACTCCAAACCTTTCAGTTCTCTAGCTGCACTTTTAATAATCCATTTGGTAATCAAAAGATTAACTGGAGAATTAATATGACGATCCCACATAAAAGCCATTTTGTATCATATTATGTGTTTTTGGTAATCAAAAGATTGTAGCAACCAATTTTAACCGATCTTCCCAAATGGAAAATACATTTCCACTTCTAACAAAATCTACAAGAAAGAGGAATAGATATGTTGTCAATGAACGAAGCCCAAAGATTAATCTATAAAAGAGATTATAGACCATTGATAAAAGGGTGAGAGGTTCTCAGATACAAGTGTTACATAATTCACAATACATAATAATTTGTATCATGATCTGCAGTGAGTACACTTTTCCCTTCCCGACTTCCTGGAATTCAACTTAAATGCTTGTGATATGATCTTAAGTAAGCCAGAATTACATATGAATTTTCTATGCAACCAATCAAATGCTAAACATATGTAATTTTGACAAACATTTGATATCAGAGTATCACAGATCAACCCAAGGACGAATCTCAATCCCCTGAATGATGAGGCCATTTTTCCAGTCAAGAGCATCAGGTTCCCAAAGGTGCATCTCAATATCACCATCACCTTCATCATTGTAAAACTCCCCCAGAGAAATCTCCAGCCATCCATCTTTTCTCAGCCGTGGAAAGCGACCAACAATCTCATCCTGCCCAGGTGGATAATAATGCCAGAACGGGAGTGGTTCCAAGAAGACAGAGTTGTTCTCTGGCTCAACAACAAAGCTAGCACCACTAGTGCTGCTGCCTCCTCCAAAAGAAATTGAGGCCTTTGCAGCTTTTGTGAGCCCATATGGCCATTCTGTAATTTTATACACAAGGTAGGCAGCATAAGTAGTCCTCCGAGACAGCAGACGAGTCGGCATCTGGCCTTGAATGTCAAGCCAAAAACCATGTACCAGCTCAGCTACCTGAGGAAACCTGAAGATCAATTTATTCAAGATTGACAAATTAGCACCAAGAACTCGATTCAATATGCCGCCATCAAAGTGCAGCTCAGGCGGTAAGGCGTTTCACCTGTGTTAGGTCACGGGTTCAAGTCATCAAGGGGGAAAGCGGGTAACCACTGTTGATCCCCTTCAAAAAAAAAAGAATAATAAAATGAAGTAAAATTAATCGAGAATGCTGATGGAAAACAGATATACCTTGATTCAGGAAAGGGTGTCCATTTCCAGTACCGAGGAACATCTGCCCATACAATTGCAAGCTTCCTTGCACACAGCATGTAACATTTTTTTCCAGTAGATCTGCTCAGCCAAAAGCTCTACTCCAAAACAGTCAAATATTTTTGTGTTCAGTAACCCAAGCAAGCATTCAATCAAGTTGGCACAGGAAACAGAAAATCATGATAAAAGAAACAGGCTTGTTTCAGATTTGCTTAGAAAAGGAAGCTGCAAATTATAACAGACACACAAGATTGACAGACTAATCCAGATTTCATTTTCACTTTTCGGTATCTCAAGATCAAGGAGCTTCGTACAATTGCAAAGGCTGTGCAGTTTCAATCGACAAAAACTTTGAAGCAGTTAGCACAAACCACAAAAGAGAGACAAAAAATTAATCTGGGATTCTTGATTCCATTTTTAACTTATCAATGCATCCAGATTAAAAAGCTCCACACATTTTCAAAGGTTCTAATGGATAATTTCTTCAAAACTCAGCTCAAAAGTGGAAGGAGGAACAGGGGAAGGGGGTGGGGGATTCTGCAGAGAAACCTGAGAACCTAAACACCTTTCTAACACGAGGAATATCACATGGGCTTCTACTACTTGTCAATTACAGAAGAGTTAAGAGAGATTACCATTGTGCCATCATTAATGAGAATTGGGCAGTGACAAAGATGAGAGAACAATTCTTTCTTGGTAGCGCAGCTAAGGGGAGGACTAGCGGAGCTTGAAATGATCTCCTTATAATCCGCAGGAAAGAATTGTTCCCAAATGGTGTCAGATTCCGAAGCAGACTTGAATTCCCACGAAACCAGAGATGCTCTGCCTGCATCTTTGGGAGATGCCATCAAAGATATGATATTGGACACGCAGCCTTCAGGCAAGCATGAGAAAGAGGAGGAAATCCCATCTCTGTTTTGGTTCATTTTTCTCGTTTGAGTGTCTTTTTTGGGCAATGGGTTGAATCAATGTTGTGTGTGAGCTCTGAAGAACAAGGCGTAGGGAAACAAGTGGTTGTGATGAGGTAGACGGCTTTTATAGAGGGGAAAAGTGCTTGGCCAGTATGTTCTTCCGCCTCATGATTGAGTGTAGTAGTCGTATGCGCGGGCTGATTGAGTGTTTTTCACGCTATTTGGGTTTGGTGACAAGTTTCCGGTGTATGCATTTATTTTTACTTAATACAGTTAAGTAAATTGTACTTAGTGCAATTGATTGATGGTGAAACGGTGAGTAAATTGTCTTCAAGAGCCTCAATAGGGGTATAAGTGAGAATAAACGAGTCAAATCACTTTAATCAAGCTCAAGCAGTTTCAACTTTTTACGTATAAATTTCATCAAATTTAAAACGTTCATCAAACACAAGACGCTGTTCAAGTTTAATTTAGAGTAAATTATCTTTTACACTGTAGTTTAATGTTTTACCACATAACTTCCTATAATTTAAAATTTTATATATAACTTTCTTATGATTTGGGTTAAAGTGTTACCGTTAGATTTTTCATTAAAAACTAATTGTTAATAGTAAAAGGTTAAAATCAAACTAATAAATTAACAAATTTATCCTTTTATTATTTCTTTTTTCCTCCAAACAAAAAAAAATAAAAATTGAAATAAAAATAAATAAATGAGAAATAGAAAATACCATTAAAATTTTGGTTTAAAAAACCTATAACGATACTTGTAGCAAAAAAAGATTTGATATTTTTGTTTCTTATTATTTGTTTTATATTTCTCTTCCATCTTTTTTATTTTTTTTATATTGGGAGAAAATTAAGATTTTGTAACCCAAATTATAAGTTTTTAAAATCATCTCTTCTCTTCCCAGAGAGAGAGAGATTGTCAATTTATTAGCTGACTTCAAGTTTTTACTATTGACCGTTATTTTATATGAAAAATTAATGACGGTACTTTAACTTAAATCATAAGAGAATTTTATATATATATATATATAAATTTATACGAAATTATGTGGTAAAATATCAAATTGCAGGAGGTAAAATGTAATTCACTGGCTTTAATCATTGACTAATTGTACACTCAAGGCATCTACCGTGGAAATGCCGGCTATAAACAATTCAAGGTAGATCGTTCAAAATGATGGAGCGTACAGAATTCACTGAATCGGACTTGTCTTTTCTGTGACGTGTTTATTTTGAATTGATTGATTAAACTTTTTATAATTTCATAAACTATACCAACTGCTAACGTGTTTACGCACACATCATTCTTAATAACAACGTAATACACGTTTAATCATGTCCATACTGTTGTTGGACCTTTTCCACGTCATCATATAATTACCAGATGAATTCAAAATGTTGTATTAATTAATTAATTCTTTATTCTTGTGTTTGAAATTTTCACATATTAAGGATAAATTACCTTTTGTTGCCCTGTAATTTGATGCTTTATCACATAATTTCCTTTGATTTATATAAATATATATATATAACCCCCTCATGATTTTGATTAAAGCGTCATCGTTAGTTTTTCAGTTAAAACCAATGATCAATAATAAAAAAATTAAAATCAATTTAATAAATTGACAAATCCATTATTTCACTATTTTTTTCTTTTTTCTTTTTTCCTTCTTTCTCTCTCTCTCTCTCGGAAGTGAAGAGATGATTTTAAAACCTATATTTTGGCCTACAAAATCATTTTCTCCAAATATAAAAGAGATGGAAGGGAAATAAAAAATAAATAAACAAGAAACAAAAATGATGGAAGGAAAATATAAAACAAATAAATAAGAAACACAAATACCAAATCTTTTTCTTACGACAAATATCATCATAGGCTTTTTAACTAAATGTTTAATGGTATTTTCTATTTCTTATTTATCTATTTTTATTTCAATTTCTTCTTTTTTATGTTTGGAGGTAAAAAAAAGGAAGTAATGAAAGGGTAAATTTTTCAAATAATTAATTTGATTTTGACTTTTTACTATTAACTATTAGTTTTAACTGAAAAATTAACCATAACACATTAACCCAAATCATGAAAATGAATTATATATAATTTTTAAACTATAGAAAAATTATGTAATAAAACACCAAACTACATGGGATAAAAGGGAATGCATCCCATATTTAAACATAAATTAAGCAAAATTTGTCTTTATGCTTTGCTCTACTAGTCTACTTCTCTCCATTCTTCACGAGACACACCAATGTGCAGCCAACATCTATCCTTTTTTGGCTTTTGTCTATGTCTAATTCCATTCCACGTGTTAGCAATTTTTGAGACCCGCATGGCAGCTTCTTTGGTTCAGATCAATTGTTCCTTCTTCTTCAGACCCCAGGAAAAGGGCTTGCCACTAAGGTCACTCCTGAGTTGAATTCACTACACGATAACACGCAATCTCTCCAAAGAGACTAGAATTTTGACAACCCAGTGGGACAAATTGTCCCAGGGATAACTTGTTTATCTCTTGATTGAAAATAATAAATGTCTTTTTGGGACCATGGGTTGAATATATTTGAATGGTAATGCACAAATGTGTAGGGAAATAAGTGGTTGTGATGGAGTAGCGGGTTGTCGTACAGGGCACAGTCTTGGCTAGTATTTCTTCTGCTTCATGATTGAGTTGGCAATCATGCGTGGTCCTCTGTACGTGCTGATTGATTGAGTTTCAGGCTATTTATGGTCTTGCTGATTGGGGTGGCTAAGTTTCAGGCCATTTAGTTTTACTTAACACAATTGAATACTCAAGTGCAATTGATTTGATTATGAAACCGTCGACTTAAAGAGCCCTAATCAAATATTTTGTTCAATTGAAAATAGGGGTATAAACCAACCAAAATTGAACAAGATTTCATCAAACCAAACTCGAATAGTTTGAACTTTTCACATACTAATTGCATCGAATTTGAAAGTTTATCGGACACAAAATGCTGTTTAAGTTTGATTTATTAATTAGCGAATCAAATTTGAATGAACTCTTATCGAGCCAAACTTGATATGAGTATCAAGTAACTTAATTCGTTCGTCATCTTGCGATAATTGAGAAGTAATTTACATCTTTGTTCCCGTAAAGCATTCAAGAAACATAATCACACATAATATAAGTTATTTTTTACGCTTAAAAGAGAGCAAGATTCATTTTTTAATGGCTCGAAAGAAATAGAATTCACTGACTTTGAACATTATGAAATTCTCTCCGTATACCAAGAGACTTAATGTACACTTAATGTGCAATACTATGCATATCAATGAATCACATCTTATCTAAATTCAATCTATACTCAATATATCTGGATAAAGTTTGGATTTAATATGTTAAATCCAAACCTTATAAGAGAGTCAATAATCTAGATAGGATTTGATTTTTTATGATCTAGACCTAAATTTAAACTAAGCTCTATTCACACCCATGTATAAATAACACACACACACATATAATAATAATAATAATAATAATAATAATCTAATGTTCAATGTGGATGTAGATAAGGTTTTGAAAATAAATAGTTTTACTTGATAATAGTTCTTTCTTTGAATTCATAATATTGCATTCAACATTTTAAATGTTAATTTTATTATTTGAAAATAATAACTGGATGGTATATATGTTATTTTTTAACTCTATATATTTTCAAAATATTTTTATTTTAGTTATTCAATGTACGTTTAGAAAAATATCCAGACTCATAAGGATCTAGGCTTGGGTTTACTTATTCAGACCAATAAAGGTCGGGATTTGGGTTTGGGGTTTGAATCAAAATAAATTTAATAGATTTGAATCTGAATTAAAAAAAAAAATCTAACCCAAAACCTACTCATCGACATGCTTACATATTACAGTGGAAAAGCCTATTAAAAACAATTAAAGGTAGAGAATTAAAATAATGTACAGGGCCCGAACAGTTGCCCGAAAAATTGTTCGGGTCGATTTTATACAAAATGCGCTAACTATAATTTTGTATATACACGATATAACTCACTTTTAACAACGTGTACCTATAAAATAAAATTTTGTAAACTCCACACATAATATGAAAAACGATATACAAGATGCAATTAAATCTTACAAATTTTTTTATTTGCCAAATCTGGACCACGAACCTTCAAACAACCGTTCTTGCCCCTCCTCCTAAAATAATGGAGTGCACAGAATTCACTTAACCGGACTTTGTCTTTTTCGTGACGTGTTTAGTTCGATTTGATTGATTAAGCATTTCATAATTCCATGAACTATACCAATTGTTAACGTGTGTATATATATACTCATTATTCTTAATAATAACAAATGCACCTTTAATCACGCCCATCTCGTATTAGCAAACTTTTGTTGTGCCTTTTCCGCGTCTCCATCGTATTTAACAAATGAAATCAAGATGTTGTATCAATTAATTATTTATTGTTGTGTTTGAAATTTTCCACAAATTGAAACATAAATTAAGCAAATTTTTGTCTTCGTGCATTGCTCTGCTGGCCTAATTCTCTTCATTCTTCGTGAGACAAACCAGTGTGCAGCCTACATCTATCCTTCGTTTGCTTTTGTCGTTGTCTAATTCCATTCCACGTGTTAGGGATTATGAGACCCCAGATGTCAGCTTCCTTGGATTAGACCCAATTGTCCAATCTTCAGAACCCAAGAAAAGGCATGAATTTTGTCACTAAGGTCGATTTTGAGTTGAGAGTTCACTGCACAATAACACGCAATCTCTGAAAGAGACTTGAATTTTGAGTTTGACAACACGATGGGACAAATTATTCAAGGGATAAGCCGCCACATCTTTCTTTAACGGGGATAAATAATAATATATTCAAAACTCCAAAAATGTATTCATGAATTGTACCACTAACATATTGATAATTTATAATAATATCATATTAAATGTTGTACAAAGTATGGATTTAAAGATGGAGGAGTAGAGTAATTAATTACGCTTCTCGAAGAAGTAATTTACAGTAGTAATATGACATTGTCGAAGTAGTATTTTACAATAACGTGGCACTGCCAAAACAAATGTTAAATTATGAGAAAAATGGAGTTGTATGAATTTAACTTTTATTCT